ACTGTGACGAAGTTTTCTGAATTCAGATCAACATCAGTCCGTCCACTTCCCAAAACTTTCTGATTGGGAAGCGGAAAATTTCTCCCTTATGCCTTGATTGCCTTCCACTTCTTCTCCACCTCTTCTTCAATGGCAGGACCAATTTGGGTCTAGTTTTTCTTTGAACAAATCTCTTTTTTGAGGAAGTTTAAGATTTTTTTGTTGATAAGTTTAATTTTCAATTTAATTTCTTGGTATGATTTTGAGGAAGAGATGAATTGATTTGGTGGTTATACGGAGAAGGAGGCGTGCGCTGAGCAGTAGTGGAAAGGGCAACAGTGGAAACTCACCATCTTTTTTACATTACCTTAAAACTCGTGCCAAGTCAAAACGAGAAGTTTCAACTGGGACGGAGGGAGTATAAAATTTTAAATTTGCAATTGTTTAAGGAAAGAATGAAGTCAAAAATCTAAAAATGTAGTTGTTATTTAAATATTTTAAATGAATAATACACTAACTTTGGCCGTTTTGGCCGGCCCCCCCCCCCACTAATTTTGTTTTTTTTTGCAGGTTTCTATTGGAGAGCATTAGAGCGAAAAGGAGAAAAAAAATATATAACCGGTACCGGTACCGGCGGTGCCGGTAACGATTTTGGGGCACCGGAACCGAGACCGGATGTGGCGGTACCGGTGCCGGTTCTCGGAACCGTTAAGCCGTCCCGGTAGTCGTCACGGTGCTCGGTACCGGCGGTACCGTTTCCGGTGACGGTACCAACCGGTACCGTGTCCAACCCTAATCATTATGATGAATATACTATCCAATGATCGAATGATATCTAAAATGTATTTTGTTGGATAATGTTGTTATTATTTATTTGATTATTATTATTATTATCATCATCATCATCATCAACAACAACAACGTATGATAAATAACAATAAAAATGTACACATTTGATTAAATATGCGTATGAATAATAAATCTATTTTTTACAGAGTATTATTTGATGTATTTGTTTGTATATATGTTATGATTGGAAGTTAGTTGTCATTTGTTGGTTGTTTGTGTCACCCGCTCTAATTAGCTTATGAGTCTAGATGTTTAAACTGCTTGGATATGTTGCCTGATTATTAAAAATATTTGGTAAATTTAGTTGTAACTATTTCAAAATTTAAATAGTAATTAATTTTTTTCTGTACATGCATATATGTTTTTGTTTATAACATCACAAAATCTACAAATTTCTAAGTATGAATAAACAAATCATGAATTCATAAATATTTTAAAAACTATATTAAAATTCTATTCGAGTATAAAACAGGAGACACTATGATTATTTTATTTTATCAAATTCTCATTAAAGCATCTAAGTATTCTCTTCATCCCTAAATTGAGATAGAAATAAAAAGCACTCCGTTCAACATACATATTTAAAAAAATGAATAAAAAATTAGAGTACAAAATAAGTAATGACATACATATTTTATTTTATCAAATGATCAATGAAAAATATACATCAACAAAAGCCATTTGAAGCTTCAAATAATGAAAATGATGATGATTAAGGGTGAAGAAATAAATAAAAATAATAGAGAGATTAAAATAGTAAACATCTGGTATCAAGGTTAAAAATATATATAACAATACATAACGGAATTATGATTTGCCGCCTCTCTGGTGTTCAATTGGTAAAATTGATAATTTTTACTCCCTAAACCCCCTTGCCTCCATGCACCCCACCCCAGTACGTTATATCTCCTAGATAGCCGAGTTAGCAGTGCCAAATCAACGATCAAGGGAGGGGATGCTGGGATGAAGTGCGGAGGATAGGAACCACTAAATTTACTAACAAAACACTATAGGTGACCTAATATGCCAAGTTCATTAGCAATAACACTAACAACAAAATGCAATTGAGAAGAAGTATATACAACATTTGCTTTTTCAGCAGTCACAGGAATTTTTGTTTATTTCTATGTTTTCATTGGTTATTTGATAAAATAAAATATTCTTGACACCTCTTATTTCGAAGAACTTTTCATGTAGTTTTTTAATATGTAAATTTTATTTTTTTATTTCTATACCAATATATAAATAAAATAAATTGAAAAAAGTTAATATTTTATTTCAGAAATATAAGTGTGATAAATATTTAGGAACGAAAGAGTATAATTGAGGAGGTTGGAGTAAAAGAAAAGCTTGCAGTCAAAGAGGCAAAGCAGGGCTGGTAAATGGCAGCAGAGGATAACCGGCGTGGCCCAGACTTACTTCACGGTTAACTAGAAATGTCCCGCTCAACCTCTCTGGGTTTAAATCCATCCCTGCCTTTCCTCCATCAAACCCCATTTTCTCTCTATATATATCTTGTCTGTTTTCTACCTAATTCCTGCCAATTTCAAGAAACTTAATCCCGGCCGCCCTGTCCTGGGATTGTAGCAATCGCAAGATTTTATTTTATTTTTTGAATTAGATGATCTTTTTGAATCTGCCGAAAACTCCCCAAATCTCCTCGAATTCGAGGTTATTTTTGCCTCATTAGGATTCAAGCAGTCCGTTGATTTGTTATTTTTATTTTAATTTATCTTTGGGGTTTTGCGCCGGGGCTTAATTCGAGGTGGGCGCGAGCTTGATGAGTTTTGGAAGGGATGGTGAATAATCTGGAAGATGGGGAGAAAAACCCATCGATCGGAGGCAGCAGCGGCGCTACCAGGTCATGGGGCACCACATTCTCCAGTCAATCTGTTTCCACCGGCGGCAGTGTTGGGTCGCCGCCGTCTAGCCGTAGCGAGGCTGCCTTGGCCACTCCGGTCAGCAACGGCACTTTTGATCGCTCAGATAACCTTGATGTTCACCGTGATGATGCCCGATCTCAACCCACTGCTGGGTCTGACATTTCTTTCATTCTCCATTTTAGCTTATTGTAATGACCTATTTCAGGAATCTGTTTGCCATTGAAACTCTTGTTTGGTTAGTTCAAGTGTTGGACTTCGTAAATTGTTTGTTTTTTTCCAAATTCGATTATTTACTTCCCCCCTTCAAAATTTCCTGGGGTGCAGATGGAGGGTTATTGATATACATTTAAGATCACAACTTTTACTGATCTTTATAGTAGTTGGGCTAGTGGGCATCTTTTTGTCCACTCGTGTTCCGTGTTTTTAATTACACTGCAACTTAGTATTATCCTTAACAATATCAGGAAGAAGAAGAAAGGTCCGCGAGCAGCACCAGGTGGAGGCGATAAGAGTAGTAGAGGATTGCGCCAGTTTAGCATGAAAGGTATTTGTTGCTCAATTGTTTAAGCTTGTATCCATGAAACTAATTTTGATGAATAACTACAAGTTGTATAATGACTAATATTTTCTGGTTGCATTTGTCTAGTCTGCGAGAAAGTGGAAAGCAAAGGAAGAACCACATATAATGAGGTCTGATCACTACTTCACTCAATGTAAACATTATCTGATGCGTGTATTTTGTATTGGAAAATGCTTAACGTGGATATCACTTTTGTTATCTAATACTCGATCCATAGGAATTTTGGGGCTCATTTTACATGATTTATGCATTCAATATTCCCATATTTTACTGTAATTTGTGAAAACAGAAGTAAGGTTGTGCACATCTTTGTTTTCCAGATACTTTACATGTTAGACTTTCCTTCCAATTGGTCCAACCTTTACTGCATTCGTATCTTATCGAAATGTTGTTGACATTCTATGTCTTTTCATAATGTAATTTTACATCATTTTATCAATAGGGCTACAAGAGCGTGCGTGATGATATTCCTGTTTTGTGTGGCTTACCTATTGATTTTAAATTTCTTTCCTTCTTTTATCTAAAAAACCTCTCAACTTCTTTGGGTAGAGACTATAGATATTATCTAAAACTCTCGAATTTCAATGCAAAATCTGCATTTACAGTCCACATAAATTAAAACAAGTTTTCAAGTGGTGGGAGGCTCAACCTATGAGGATATCATTAAAAACTCAAACAGATTTTGTTAATATAGATGAAAACCCAATCCATCAATTCTTGAAAAGCTGAAGAGGCGTTCGTGAGTCTGGGCAGAAGAATGAGAAATTCAAAATGCTCATGGTCAGGTCGGGAGGCATTTTTTATGTCGTTTGGATCCATCCTTTTCTAACTGTATCCTGACTGCAAATCCAGTTTGGTAAACTACCTAGCACCATGCAATTAGTCGATGGCTGGAAATTGGGATAGGAAATTTTTCCTTTCGGTATTGACATTGACTTCCCTGTAATCAACACAGAAATGGCCAGTTTCATCATGTCTAACCACTAGCACAACTGGGTAACAGGGATGAGAGATCTACTTTGGAGCTTTTCGGCACAATGATGTTGAATCTCAATGTTTGAGGATATGTATATGTACGAACTAGGCCTGGATGTGCTCTTTGGTTCAAACCAAGTGGTTATTTGATTACACAAATGGCTTGGAGGGAGTGGTTTAGGTTTCTGAAATAGGTCCACAAAGTCAGTGAAAAGATGGTCAATAGTTGGATGGTAATTAATTGAGAATGAACTGACCTTGAAGAGTTTGGGCATGCAAATTGCTCTCCATTCCATGTCATCTGGGTTGTTGGTGTAAATGCCATGACGAGGTCATTGAATTCCCATAATATTGCGCCTAAATTTGTGAGAGCAAGGGGGGAGAGATGGGATTGTTTTGACCGGATAAGGTGCATGGTAGGAAGGCGCAATATCTGGATGCCAGATGCGTTAAAGGCGGGAATGACTTGGTCGCAGCACTATCTCCTCAGCTCATCCATCTCCAGACGATTAAAAAGGGACTAAGAGTAGAATCATGGTGGCTGGTACAAAGATGTCTTTTTTTGAGTGCTATTGATTCAATTACAATATAGTATGTCTTCATACTTTCTCAACCTAATGGCGCACAACGAGTCAATGCCTCCGTCTCTGCCCAGACTCAAACCTGGGTGAGCTTCCCCATGAATCTTAGGGAGTGAGCTTCCTACCACTCATGCCAGGGGAGAAGTTCTGTCATACATGTCTTTAGTTGCTCTAATATATACTACTGGCACAACTCTCACCTTTCCGGGGACTTTGTGATATACATTCTCTATGTAAATACACACTATATGAAGACCTCTTTTCCGGCCGTGTACTGGTCAACAACCTCCTTAGAAAATGGATTGCCTTCATAGAGAATTCCGCACACATGAATCCAAATTGGTTCTTGGATATCTGGGTTTCATTTTTATTTCACTTTTTATTTCACGTCTATTGCAATTCAATTAGTTGCCTCCTGATTTTTCATCTGTTTGACAAGGGTAAATGTCTTGTGCAGGTAGCAGATGAACTTGTAGCTGAATTTGCCGATTCTAACAATAGCTTTGCATCCCCAGACCAGGTTTCCTTTTAGTTTGATGATCATATATTTCTCAACTCATATTGTCATTTATATGTTTTTGATAAAAAAGAATAGTGAACCAGTGAGTGATTGATGCATAACAGCAACAATATGATGAGAAAAACATTCGACGCCGCGTTTATGATGCTCTGAATGTTCTCATGGCAATGGATATTATTTCAAAAGATAAAAAGGATATCCAGTGGAAGGGTCTACCGCGAGCAAGCATAAACGATATTGAACAGCTAAAGGTGTTTAAGCTTTACTTTGTTGGGTCAAATTTTGGATAAATTCTATAGGAAAAGATTGATTATTCAATGATGTAAAATTGTAAATCATTGCGGAGGATGACATTATTATTTGCAGACAGAGTGTCTTGGATTGAAAAACAAGATTGAAAAGAAAGCGGCGTATTTAGAAGAACTTGAGGAACATGTATGATCCTTTTCTTGCTTGTTGCTTTTATATCCTCAATAAATTGTAAAAGTTCATTTATTTACTTATATATACGTAACCGCCTAAGGGGTGGTGACATCATCAACTATCTCTTTCCTTTTCTTGAGGTTTTTAAATTTTCTTACGCCCGAGTTTCTCTTTGCAAAAGTACACAGGTCTTCAAAACCTCATAAAACGTAATGAACAGTTGTATGGCTCTGGAAATACTCCAACTGGTGGCGTGGCTTTACCCTTTATATTGGTTCAGGTAAAAAGGCTTGATAATTTCGTATCTAGTGTAATAGATTGAAATGGACCATAAAGGTCCATTGCCAAGAGTTGCCGATTTTACATTCCTCTAAAAACATAATGCTTTTTTCCCCTCATTTTCACGCATTTCCGTTGTGGTTAAATCTAATAATTGTCTCATCATTTTCTTTTGCGTGCGCGAACTGCAGACGCGCCCTCATGCAACGGTTGAAGTGGAAATATCAGAAGACATGCAACTGGTGCACTTTGATTTCAACAGGTAATATAAAAATACTGCCCAAGATTTGCTTTTCTTCTGTCAGGCATGCTTTCTATTGTTATTCTCCTTGAATGGTGAACCCGAATTTTTTTTAACACCAGAAATCGATAATAAGTGAATTGTACGTGTTTTACCCCTCACCCCCCATTGCAGCACTCCATTTGAGCTCCATGACGACAAATATGTCCTCAAGGAGATGCAATTCTGCGAAAGACCCCTGCCACGTGCCAATGGATGGGAAGGTTCCAGCAACCACGACGCCTTCCAAACTTGTACCCCCATGCAAAATATGTCTGGTAGGCCATCTTCTTCTTCTCTCCCTGGGATACTTAAGCCATGCACCGCCAAGCATGAGCCCCCACCCCGTACCCCCACCCCACCATCTAGTATTTGATTATTACTCTGTATTATTTATGTGTACCTGTCTAGCATCTGTACATCATGTACAATATTATGCTTTTAGTCTGGATCCCGAGACCCCCGCCCCCCCACCCCTCCCCATTGCCTTGTGAGTTGCCTTTGGGGGGATTAGCTGCTTCACATCACAAATTCACAAGTCATTTGTAATTGTTGCAAGGAAAAAGACTTGGCATCAGTTGGTTTAATCATGATGAAATGAAGGAAGTTGAAAAACACCCATGTTTTCAATGAATTGTCAATCCAAAATCATGTTTTGTGCTTTTTAAAAGTCTGTTTGCGGGAGCTGGGATGTGATTGATTCGACTTACTCTGGTTATGAGCATTCGAATAATCAAAATAAGCTGTTTGAGTGGTTTATGGCTAAAAAATGGATGTTACCAAACCATTCAAATAACACGTACCTAATGTGTGACAGGTGATCAAACACAATTTAAGTACCATTTTTCATACTCTAAATGACTCAATACGATTTAAACAAGTCTCCATGAGATCAAATAAATTTCAATGAAAGTACATAAAATTACACTCAAATCAATCTTATGATGCCTACTAAGACATATTACAAATAAGAAGAGTAAGAAACTCTAAGGCCCCGTTTGGTACACGGAATTCAAACTATGGAATTGGAATTGAAGACTTCAATTCCAATTCTGGTGTTTGGCAGCACAAAAATTATGTGGATTTGGAATTGATAGTACAAAAAATGAATTAGAATTTGCAGAATTCAATTCTATGGAATTGAATCCCATAAAATTTCAATTCCAATTCAATTCCAATTCCATCAATTCTGTATACCAAACGGACCCTAAATCAAAAGAGCATGCAAAAAAGAAAATGAGAAAACAAACACCGTTTCTAAGCACAATCAGTCGAAGGAGCGGAGCTTAGAGTCTTTACTTGATATTATTAATGGTTTCTTATTCAAAAATTAATCTCATATGGCTAAATGCCATGGTTTTTTTTCAACTTACTTCTTCATTCACTTGTTCGAAAATTATGAATTCAAATGTATTTGATTCTAAACACATTAAAGATTGAAACTAGAGTTCATTTTTCTAAAGCATGCAAAAGAAAAGAAATGGAGGAAAGAAATTTGAGTAAATTTCATAAAAGGTCCTCAGTTATAGATCGTTTTACATATTTAGTCCCTATATATCAAATATTACTAATTTAGTCTCCAATTATTATATCATTTTTCACGAATAGTCCTTTGTTAACGTTTTTGTTAAGAACATGGATAAAATTGTATATTCATACTTCTCTCTCTCCTCAATTAAGCTTTCACTCTTCTCTCGTACTCTTTTTCAAACTCGTCGCTGAGTTTGAAGCTCCAAATCCAAAGTGAAATGGTCACTCTTCTCTCAATTAGTAGTCTTCCTGGTGGAACCTAAAATCAAAACTAATAAGCTTTATGGATAAGTTTTATCGGTTAGTTTCAAAAATTGCAAAGAAAATAAACATTAAAACTCATCCATGAAGGTTACCGGTTTTGAATTTGGGTTCTATCAGTTCGAAAAACAATTGAGAGAAGAGTGATAATTTTGGTTTTGGGTTCAAAGCTTCAAATTCAGTGACGGGTTTGGGAAAGGAGTGCGAGGGGAGCGAAGAAGCTTAATTGAAGAGAGAAAGAAGCGTGAATTTATAATTTTATCCATGTTCTTAACGGAAATGTTAACAAAGGATCATTTTTGGAAATGAATATAATAATTAGGGACTAAATTAGTAATATTTGATAGGTAGGGATTAAATATGTAAAACGACCTATAACTGAGGACCTTTTATGGAATTTACTCAAGAAATTTTGAGACTAAAATTGAGTTTTGACTTTTCAATTTTAGTGAAAGTGAAGACTAAAGACTGCAATTCCCAATTTGCTTTCAAAAGAGTGCATTCTATGTGAAAATTCAAAATAATCTAAAACATAAATTATTAGATGTTGGATAGTCAAGTTATGAAATCAAATCATCTAAAAATCAGAATATATTTTCTTTTGGTCATTGTTAGAAAAAATTGGAAAACATTTGAAAAAAACTACTCTATAAAAATTGGGAAAAAAAACATTTGAAGAAACTGTAAAATTGAAAATTTTCGAATTTCAAACGAATTGAAAAATGTTGGAAGAAATAAGATGAAATTGAAAAAAGGAGTTGAAATAAGCCCGAGATTACATCAGACCGTGAAATTGAAAAAAGGAGTTGAAATAAGCCTGAGATTAGATCAGACCATGAAATTGAAAAAAGGAGTTGAAATTGTTAAATTAGAACTTAACTTTTCTAATTCAAAAGAATAAGCCTGAGATTACATCAAACCGTGCGATGTGGGTCACGACCATCATGTTATTCCTTCTTGCCACTTAGAGCAACTCCAACGGATTGTGCATATGAAAAAATATACCCATTATGCAATATCATGTTCATTTTTTTTAGTGCTCCAATGGATTGTGTAAATGTGAGGCTAAAATGCACTATAGTGCAAAAAGTCATTCTCACCTCCTATATCTGCACTTTGATGTAGATAGTGTAAAACAATTAAAAAATTATTTTCTCACCTCTTGGATTTGCTATTCACTCCCTCGTCTCTTTATTTCATTTCTCATCCTACTCCTTCTCTCAATTTGCTCCTCTGGTCCATTGAATCCAAAATTGCTGTTGTCCTCAACCCTCTCTCAAGTAAATTGCTGCAATTTAATTGCTTGGATTGCCCGTAGGTATTGATCTAATTGTTTCTTGTTGGATATGTCTCTATCTTCTTCTTTTGTTGGTATGAAGTTTTCTTTTTTCATTTTGATGTAGCCAATTGTAATTTCAGATTTTATTTATAGATTTGTTTTTTTTGTAGATTACAAATTCAATCATGAATTAAATATTATAAAAGTGTATTATATAGAAGATATGATTGGAGTAAGTATAAAAAAGTGGAAGTGTAAAACACTGTTGACAGTGTAAAATAACATTTACACTCTCACTTTTTTCACAATGCGTTGGAGTTGCTCTTAGTGTCACGTTGACTATTCTCTTTTTAAATATTCTTCTTTAAATCTATTTTATATCTATTTTAATTAAAATTATTTAAAATGGAAACATAGAATAAATATTTCATTCATATTAAATTTAAATATACAATATATGAACAAAGTGTGATTAAAAAAGCGGACACTTAGATGTTTTAAACTGGCAGGTAATATTTTGAAGGTGATGTAAAATTATTTTGTAGAAACTGGGAGGTGATATTTGGAAGTCAGTTGTTGTAAATTATTTTGATCTTAAATTATTTTGAAGTAAAAAATTTTGATCTTAAATTATTTTGCTGTAAAAATTTTGATCTTCAAAAAAAAATAAATATCAAGGATCTTTATATTTTGCTGTAAAAAGTGGGAGGTGATATTTTTACTAATATCCCGTTGATGACCGTTAAAAATGTACTCCGATCTTTTCTCATTTTCTCCTTACTTAGTTATTTTAATTGCATCGATTTTATTATTAGACAAACATTTTTGAATTTTTGAAAAAAATACTTCCATAAGGAATTGAAAATAAACTTTATTAAAAAAGAAAAATAAAGAACAAGGAAATAAAAAGTGAAGGCCCTAAGTTTTATTAACATAAAAAAATGCCCTAAATAGGAGTAAAATATAGAGAAAATACTGAAATATAAATTCCATTATTTATTCCATAAATAGGAGTTTACACTGTGATAATGTGTCACTGTACATAAGCATTTTACTATACTTTTTGGTAATATACATGGTCATGGTTAATAATGAAATGCATTTTAAATCCTATTTTGGAAAAATACATGAAACTCCTATTTTGGTATATTTTTAATTTTTACTCCTATTTTAGTCTTTTTTTCTCTAACATGCATAAACCATTAAAGGCAAAACAAGAAAAATATATTTTTTAACGGTCACTAACGGAATAGTGGACGGAATGTCTCCTCTTACTTTTTACAACAAAATGTAACGGTCCATGATATTTTTTCTAAAAATATAAGTACCTACGAGTAATTTTAACAAAACTCGCGTCATGTAGAAATAATTTTTGACAATGTATTCATTACTTGGTAGCATTAAAAAGAAATATTTGCACTAAATAGCACTAAAACCTAAGTCATTAAAAAAGTAGTTTTTGTTTGATGCGTAGTAAAAGCTTCGCTTGCAATGTGTATGGTTACAAGATTTTGGGTATTCTTTTGCCTTATTGATGTAGGATAAAAATAACAAATAAAAAATTTATTTCGTTTGCGACTTTGAAAAAAAATGAGAACAAAATTCATGCCATACTAAACAACAATGTGAATTTTCAACATGTAGTGCATTTTGTCCTTTTTTCGACTCTTTCAAAATAAACTTATATTGACCAACTAAGTTAGGTCTTAGCATTGAGCATGTAAGGGGTACCATGAACTTTTTAGTTTCAAGTAGTTGATTAATCTTTTAACAAATTAAAACAAAATCTCATATTTAATTATTTATTAGAAGTTAATTTTAGGTAGAAACTTGTACCGTAGTACTACTTCCGTCTGAGAGTATTTGTCTAGTTTTGACTTTTTTCAGTTAACCGTTTTTAATTAGATCCTGGTAGAGATGTGAAAGTCGATTCCTTTTCATAACAATTTAGAAAAGTGTAATCTTCATCTAGTAATTTAGTGGAAGATTATTATACGGACGTGTACTCTGTAGATTAGGAGGGTTTCTCAGTACTCCGCAGTGTCATTCTTTACTTTTTCATATTTACAGAATTCTACCAATAGTAATGCAATACCTTCCAAGTCATTTGTTTCTGCTTGTGTTAATTTTTTAAAGTCTAAACTTGATTTTAGATCAGCGCACAACTCATCCAGACATTTCAAGACTGGTAAATTTCATGAATTGATTTTTGAGTTTATGAAAAATTATACTCTCTCTGTCCCTAATTTGATTACAATTTTTTTCTCTCATCTCGATAATTTTTGTTTGTTTACTCAATTTCATTAAGTATTTGACCAAATAAAATATTCTAATCACCTCTTTTTTTGTAGAACCTTTGACGTAGTATATGTAATCTTTATTTCTTATCGATATACCGATTTGTAAATAAAATGATTTTAAAAACTACTCATATTTCTCCTCGTAAACCCCAATTTGATTTATGGAGGGAATACTCCTTATAATAATGAAGTAAAAAACTTCTTATTGAAATTGTTAAGAAGAGTATAAAACTTGTGAATAACATGTTTCCTTCCTTGTACGTACGAGGTACAGATTGCTTGCTGCTTTGATTCAAGTTCTCTCTAGCAAAAAAATGAAAATTTGTGGTAAAAACTCTTGAATCTTATAGTTTTTCAAAATATTTTCCGGAGTTACTTTAAAATATCAGAAAATTAACTTCAGAAGGACTTCCCGTCCATCCTTCCGTCATACCCACTCACTCCGTTATATTTTCATCTTCTTGGCAAAAATTACTGCTGGGTACTCCCAATTTTGTAATAAAAATTTTCGGGTCTCATCGTTTTTAAATTAAAATATACTCTGGGTTACTCTAAAACATCAAAAACTTAAGGTATCCCAGAATATATTTTGAAAAATGATGGGATCTGGGAGTTCTTACCACAAAACTAGAGATAATATATACCCGATAGCAATTTTTTGTCTCTATACTCTCAGCTCTAGGCATGCAATTTTTGTTTTCCTCCCTATGATTAGGGTTCTTCCTCCCTTCCTTATACTAGATCTGAGTATGTTTTATTGTTATTTACTCCCTATTATTATTATTATAACTATTATCTAAATTTGTAAAATATAAAAAGTTGTGTGAATGAAAAAGAATATAGTCTAAAAACATTGTTATGAGTTTGTGTATGAATGTATGATGTAATAGGTTGGAAATGAACTGTTTTGAGTTTGAGTTTTAATGTAAAAAAAGGATGAGTCTCATCTCCGAGGACTTCTCAGACTCATCCGGACGATCAATGAAAGGAGGTAAATGAGACTCTTAATCGCATATTGGTGATAAAAAGTGAAGTCTGCACCTGGTATTTGCAGAGGCCCTATACCTGTCATAGTTGCATCTCAGTGCAGTTGCCAAGAATCAAATTCGGGTCTTACTCCCTTGGCACCCCTTGCCTTGCCAACTGTGCAACACCCACCGTCGAGTTTCAGTTTTAATGTAATGTATTGGAGATACTCTTAGGATGGGATTCATTTTTTCCCCAATGTGGTACCGCCTCACATCACAATTCACAAACAAACAATTGAAGGTTTGAAACAAAATGTGTGAACAAAGTGACCCACAAAAGGACTACTAGCTAACCTGGCCAAGTCGTGGTCAATTCCCACTCCCAATTAATACGCAGACAATGAAAGATCCCACTTGTTGTTAACTAGATAGATACCAAAAAAGTACCCAGCCAAATTGACAGTTGTTTAGTTCTTGTATACTTCCAAAAACACCTCTCTCTCTCTCTCTCACATTACCATTTCTTTTTATACCATTTCCTCTTTCTTTCTTTTTTTTTTAAAAAAAACTTTTTCCTCCCATTCATTTCTTTGCAATACCACTTAATTGACATTAATTTCAAGTTATTTTGTTTATATCTTAATGTAGAATTAAAAATAAAATTTATCCTGAGACATATATTTAAAAGAACATAAAAAAGTTTACAAAACAAAGTGTGACACGACTATTATTTTATATGATTCCAATACTCCCTCCGGTCCTAAAAGCATTTTGTGTTTTGACTTTTTTTGGTCAAATAGTAACACTCTTTAACCATAAGTTAAATATAATCTAAATAAATAAATGATACTTCCTCCATCCCAAAAAGTCTTTCCTGTTTCATTTTTTGCGCATCTTATAAAATACTTCTATCGACATCTAAAATGCCTAAAATTTACAACATTTCTTCTTTATTGTGGGTAGAAGCTATTTTGAAAGTTTTTTTTTGCATTCAAGGTGGGATAGAAGTGTTTTATGGGATGCGCAAAAAATAAAACAGGAAAGACTTTTTGGGACAGAGGGAGTATAAAATATGATATATCAAAACTATGTCATAAGATTAACCTAATTATTTTGATTTTATATTATAATTAAATATACGGAGTACTTTGCTCACATTTTATGGTCAAAGAGTGTCAATGTTTGACAACAAAATTAAATCAGGAAAGGTTTTTAGAATCCGCTAGTCTCATTAGAGCTATTATTCTATTACCGGAGTATATATAGGGGGTGTTTGTTTTTTCTGCAGGAAAAGGTCTGCGGTCTGCGGACCACTACTGTAGACATCTGCAGGAGAAGTGGTGGACCGAAGGTCTGCGGTCTGCAAGAAGAAGACTGTTTTTTTAATGTCTGTAGACTGCTATATAAATTAATGGTGGTAGTGTATGATGCTGGTGTATGGACGATTGTGGTGGTGGTGGTGGCGGTGGATGGTGGCGGTGGTGGTGGACGACGATGGTGATGGACGGTGATGGTGATGGTGGACGGTGGTAGTGGTGGACGGTGGCGGTGAACGTTTGTGGTGGTGAAGAGAAGTAGAAAAAAAAGGAGAAGATGTTAGAAGACATTGATTAATGTCTTCTCCAAGAAGATGCCAGGAAGACCTTTTTGAGTGAAATGTCTTCTAAAAAACAAACAATCTGCAGAGCCCATCATCTGCGCGCGTCTGCGCGGCGCAGACAAAAGACGCCAGAAGGTCTTCTGGTGGAAAAACAAACACCCCCATAGTGAATTGGGTGTAACTCTCATCTTGGGTTTATTTCTAATCACTACCTACTAACAATCATCAATATAATTGACCAAATATCATAATATATATTTATTTTAATAATTTTATTTATGACATTAAATATTACTTTGTTTTTCTTCAAGTCAACTTGACATTTTGAGTTGATAGAATTTAATGAAAATATTGAAAACTGAATTTTTTTGTTTTAACCCTAAGACCGATTAACACCATCAGAGGTAATAACGACGACGTACAAACTGTAATTCTCTATGAGATATTATTGTCTGTGAAACATTGATTTTGTCAGCCTTGGTGACATTTGTGGTGTAACTTTTGTAAATTATGATTGGCATATTTCCAATTAATTTTTTTGAATACTGATAATTCTACTACTCTGTATAATTTAGTATTTGTTCCAATAACTTTTGTTTAGCACATTGTTAAAATATTTTTAGTCCAATAAATGGACTCTTTTTAAAATACTCCCTCCGTCCCTAAATAAACTTCCTCTTTCATTTTTTCTTTGTCCCCAAATAAACTTCTATTTTCCTTTAGAAAACTCCTTTTACCCCTTACTTTTTCATACCTTACCTATCACATAATACCTTTTTACTAATAATCTACATATCACATCTTACTTTTACACATCACATCATGGGTATTTTCGAAAAATCAACACAAAATATCCCTCCCTTAAATCCTCAAAAAGTCAAAAAGAGAAGTTTATTTAGGGACGGGAGAGTACCACTAATATGTGAAAAGATATTGGTTGAGTCTACATCATCGAGTGATTATTCTTTACGAAACAGGCATTATTATATCGAGTGATTATTCTCTAATTTTTTTTAATACTCCGTATTACCATAGAAGATTTGTGGGAGCCCCTTTTTGGTAGATATAGATTTGATTGGAACATAAGATGAAGTTGAGATTGAATGATCCAAATTAACATGTACTACCTAATTCTATAAGAGACGGATTTTACTCCCATTGAAATTATGTTAATTATGTAAATGTAGTTTCTCATTATAGTGTCATACTCTTTTTTTTTCTTTCAAAAAAAGACCTTCATTTTCTTTTTGGAGGGTCTAAAAAAGCTTGTCTTTCCATTGTTAGATAATTTTTTTGTGGAAAAAATGGATCTCTGCATGCGCTCTTGTGACGGAGGTCAAACTAGTTGGGTCAAACCCGAAAGAGTAGTGGGTTTAACACGATTGCTCGTCTGGAAGTTCATGTCCAGTGTCTCGTGGTCCTTTAGGTGTTGGCGCTCAAAAAAAAAATCAAGGGAATGGGAGTTCATTTGCAAGTGGTCAACCGGTTAGATTCAAAATGGCCCGGTTATCCACTTGAGGGGGAGTGTTAGAGTGCATCCCACATCAGAAGTCCAAGAGTAAAATAATCTGGTATATAAGCTCTTGAGTTAAACTAACTAATCGATTGGATTCAATCTTTTAATGTGGTTCAACCCAAGTGTCTTATTACCTAATTGAGTTGTCCATACCCATTCCAAATTCTATCACAAAACAAGTTTATGAAGTAACCAGAAAATAAATCTTAATTATAAAGTTTTGCATAGATATTAGTATACCGAGAATTTACACCACCAATTTGAACTAGGAAATAAATTGGAAACAACGATTTTAATATTACATTAAAAATAAATTTTTGAGGGCATGCCCGCCTGGTGAGGCATTGATCAAGGGAGGTTGTGAGGATTCAAGCTCAAAAGTCTCGTCTCACGTTTTGAGGTGTTTTTGTTCTTTGGGAAAAAGACTAAAGTAGAAATAAAAAATTGAAATATACCAAATCGGACTTTCATGTTTTTATTTTCGAAATAAGAGTTAAAATACATTTACATTACCAAAAAGTATAGTAATGTGCGCACGCAGTGCCACATTACAACCATATTACCACAGTGCGAAGTCTTATTTCGGGAATAAAAATATAAACTCCGATTTTGGTACTTTTTTTCTACTCCCTCCGTTCCTTTAAACTCTTCCACTTTTGACTTTTGGCAAAAATAAGGAAAATGTAATTTTGGTTGACTTTCCAATGTTGCTAATGATGTGATAGGTAAAAGTAAGATATAATAGTTTGGTTATTAGTGAAAAAGTATGATGTGATAGGTAGGGTATGAAAAAGTAAAGGTAAAAGTGGTTTTTAATAGAAAGTGGAAGTATTTTAGAGAATTCAAAAAAAACGAAAAAGGAATGGTTTGGTGGAACGGAGGGAGTATGTTTTAGTCCTATTTACGGTGATCTTTATTGTTATTAAATTACTTTCTTTGATAATTTTGTATTGTGTTATTTTGTGTGTTATAATGATTCCTAGAGAACATTTATCTGGAAGTAAAAAAAGAAAAAAAGAGATGGAATAGTGAAAGAAATTAATAGAATCACAAGAAGGATATATATATATATATATATATATATATATGGATAAATATATATTGCCTAAAGAGAACAAAATGTACAAAGTGGAACTTCTCCTCTGGCTTGAGTGGTAGCAAGCCCACTCCCCAGGATTCTTGGGGAAGTTCACCCAGGTTCGAGCCCCAGCGAAGGCAGCAGCATTGGCTCTTTGTGTGTCATTAGCTTGAGAATAGTATGAACAGATACTACCTTGTAATAGAGTCAATAGTATTCAAAAAAAATGTACAAAGTGATTATCATAATTATTAATTACTATTAGTTAATAATAATAATTATGATTATTATCATTTGAATCATAGTGATAATAATATTAATCACCATTATTATTATTGTAATTATTATTATTGTAATTATTATTATTAGTTAATAATAATGATTATTATTATTTTAATTATTATTATTATTATTATTGTAATTATTTATTATTATTATTTAACACGACCTAATACTCCCTATCGTTTTAGCACTTTTGAATGCCAAGTTGTTAACAACTATCAAGTATCAACTCGTGTTAGATTGTTAGTTATTCCGTAGAGCACTTTTTTTTCCTCTTTGGTTTTTTGTTTGTATTGAAGGCATTTTCTTTTGTATTTGTTGAACTTCAATTTTAATTAAAAAATTACTTTGAATTTTAATAGTTTGGTACTTGCAGTGGCCTTATGCTTAGCATAATTGTCTCCCAGCATAGTTGCCAGGAATTGAACCCGCCTATTACTCACTGGGCACTCCTTGTTTTGCCAACCGTGCAACGCTCACCAGTAATCAACTAATTGTATATCCATAATAAAGTTATCAAGGAGTATTATTATAAAAACAACATTCACAAAATTCGAGAATGTGTGGCTTTGGCATCATCGATAACTCTATAGCGTACGTAGTACCTTTATGTTGAAGGCACTTTGGACAACTGACCACAAGAGACGGAGAAGCAGCCAAACCCAAACGCCCTTTTCATCTTCTCTCCCTTCATTATTTTACCTCCGTACCCCCACCATCTTTATTTTAGAAAAATGTTAGGGTGCCCCAAATAGTTGTTATTACGGGTGTTCTCAAGTTTCGCACAGATGATTATCAACTGTGTCGCATAGATGATTATCATCTGCGTCGCACAAGTGATTATCATCTGTGCCGCACAGGTGATTACCATCTACGTCACACATGTGATTGTCATTTATATCATCTGTGCCAAGCTTGGGTGCACCCATGATAACAGCTATTTGGGGCACCCTAGCATGACCCTTTTTTTTAATCTTTTTATTTACAATCTGCTCCGTATTTAATTTGTTTACCAACAATGGCCGATCAAGAAATATATTTCCTCCCTAATTTAGATTATAATTTTAGAATTGGGGAATGGAATAAAAAATTGATAAACTTTGACTATTAGTACTCTCTCTCTCTGCAAGATTAGGAATGCATTAATCATTCGCTCATCCAGTGCAAATATGGATTCATCTAAATTCATATATATCACACGCAACCTTTGCAATATTCTCTTCTCGAACATTATCTTCTATATTTTGACATCTTGAAATCTTAGATAATCATCTTGACTTTAGTTGTAGGTAACTAAACTCAAAGCCCAGGGATCAGTAAATCAAGCTGTTCATCAATCCACTGCATCTTTATCAAACTCCAACCGGCATAAAAAAGAGACCTTAATTTGACGAGCACGAATGAATAACGCACTACCAATCTGATGCATATGCACCATTCATACAACATTTTTAAATGTTTAGGGACTACTGAAGTACTTTTTAAATTTTGGGAGGATTTCGTGCAATTTTTTGAAAATCCAAAAGTAAATATCGTAAAAAAAACTCATTTTATATCAAAGCGTTTGAATTTAGCAAAATTAGGAAAAATCTGTGTATAACCATTTACCGAAATGATTATTTTTTATTACAAAAAAAGGTTCATTTATCTCATTTAAGAACACCGAAAAAAAATCCTTACTGTATGTGAAGATAAAGGTTGAGAATTATTGAAAGCTCAACATACTTATACTCCTATATATGTAGGGAAAAAAGAATGACACCGTGGCAGAGTTTTTAACCTCAATTAGAAAAATTAATTATCATCCACTAATCCCCCCCTTGGACTGTTCCCCTAAATTCAGAAAGCGCCTTATGAATCACGTTCCCAAAAAACGGGTTTGGGGACTAACCATTTTGTCTCCATCACTCTCGTCTTTAGTTAGAGTTTTGTTCTTTTCAAATTGGACCGACCTAAAACCCGACCAAAATCGGACCGGACCGGTCCTTATTCGGTCTGGTCTTTGGTCCTAATTTTTTCCTTATTCGAGTTCCACTCCGGTCCATCGGGTTTCGGTCCGGACCGGTGGACTGGTTACATTTTATTTTTTTTAAATATTTGTTTCTATATAGTTTTATAATATACTCCCTCCATTTCATATTAACTGTCCATTATTACTTTCTTGGTACATTGAGAAATGAATGAATATAGACATACTTTATGTCTACATTCATTCATTTCTCAATGTATCAAGAAAGTCATAATGGACAGTTAATATGGAATGGAGACAGTAGTTTTTTAAGGTTTTTTTGTACTTAAAATTAATTTAACTTTAATACTAAATTTTTTTCAAATGTTTTGGTTTTTTATTTTATGTAATTTTTTAATGTATTCCAATTCAAAATAAGATATCAATTCTAATGATATTTAAATATTTTTCATATGAAAAGTGTGAAAAAGTAAATATTGCCTTTATATTAGGGATCTAATGCATTTCAAATTAATATACCAATACTATAACTTAAGTTTGTACTTTATCAATAATGAAACTCTAATAAACAAAAATAAACATTGTAAACAATTTCCTGAACAAAAATAGTAAAAAATGTATTCGTTTGTCAAAATAAACCGAAAACACAAAAAAATATTACATAAAGGCAAAAATGCAGTAAGAAAAAGAATATTCCCTATGTAAAATTTAAAATTACGAACAAATTTTATGTAATACGGATGGAAGAAATATTTTTTTTAAAGTTTTATAAAAAATTAAAAACAACAGTGTTTGACAATGTTTAGTGTTACACATTAAAAATTAATTGTAGTAATATTTTTATGCTATTGAATACTTTAAACTAAATAAATAAAATCAAATTAAAAAAATCACATTTATCTGGTCCGGTCCCGGGCCGGTTCTTACCTTAACCGATCTGGTCCTCGATCCACAAAATTCCTCTTATTCGGTCCCGGTCCGGGCCGGGTTTGACCCGATGAACACTTCTAGAGTATCCTATTTGTACATCAGGCAAACACAAATACTTAGTAAGGGTATTATTACATAACCACTCCAAAAGGGAGGGTCTTAGATACTCCTTTCCCCCAACAATAATGTTTCCGTTGTGCGTTACGATATTTGATTGAAGTTATTTTCAAATTATTTTATATGAAAAATTGTATGGAATTAAAAAATAAAAATTACATATTTAAAAATTCTATGAAAAAATATACTCCCTCCGTTCCAAAAAAGATTGGTACATATTGACTTTTTGGAAAATTAAGGATGAATATTTTGGTATTGACTTTCCAAAAATAGCCTTGATGTGATGGGTAAAACTGTAAAAGTAGGATGTGATGAGTGGATTATCAGAAAAAATGTATGATGTGATAGGTAGGGTATGAAAAAGTAAGGGGTAAAAGTGGTTTTTTAATAAAAATGTAATGAATTTTACAGGACGCAGTTTTTTCGAAACGTGTCGGACTTTTTAGGACGGAGGGAGTATAAAACTAGAGGTGACACGGTTATATTATTTTATCAAATGTGCAACAAAAATACACCAACAAAAGTGAATAAAGTCTCATCCTGTAAATAGTGAACGAAAAAATTATTATGGGACGGAGTATATACACAAGTCAATGCAAACTCTTCTTCAATTCCTCATTTCCATTCACATTTCACAATAAAAACAGATCTTCATTATTTTATATGGTTTCCTTCTTCATCTCCTTCATAATTCTATTTTCTTCCCCTCTCAAAAAATTGGAAGCTTTTTCACAGGTTATTAATGGAGAAAACGTTGAGCGTAGTCCAACCGAAGAAGAAGGGGTCGAATAATAAGATGAACCCAAAAAACAAGCAGCAGCAGCTCAAAGTGGTGTACATATCCAACCCCATGAGGGTGGAGACCAGCCCGTCGGAGTTCAAAGGCGTTGTCCAAGAGCTCACCGGCCGGGACGCCGCCGACGTTCCCTCCGCGCCGGGGACCAGCAGGGGTACTGCCCGGAAACAAGATACTGCTGATGTGGTCGCTCCGGAGGGCAGCCGGAGCGCGGTTGTGGAAGATTACTCCGCCCGTGGAGGGCAGCAGCGGCCGCCGGAGAGTTCAGGTCTCTCGCCGGAGGCTGCCCAGGATTACGTGCCGGAGTTGATAGAGGCTTTTCCGGCAGGGGTAATGCCGTCCAACATGTGGTATGATTGATCGTACGTACGTACGTTGGTAGGTGGTATTGAATGTGATTAAATTAAATTAAATTATTATCATGATATATATTGGACATATATTTGGATGATGATGATAATTATTTATAAATTACTCGATTATAAACACTCCGTGCTAATTGCTTCACTCGTTGTTTGGTTTTGGAGAATAAAATCTTTTCTTTTCAAAATTAATCTTTATTATCGTCAAAAAGTTGTCTAACACGCTGATATAAAAGCTAATTCTAAACCAAACCTCATTTGAATGGTTAGACCAATCAAATTGGTCAAAGTTGGTCAAAACACAGTCAAAGGCCATAAAAAATGTCAAATTTCATACTTCCTCCGTCATACAAACATGAGTTTCATTGATTTTTAAGAGATTTAAGGTAAATGTATTTTGATATGAATTTCTAAAAGGGTAATTTACCTAAATATGATTAAAACATAATGACTTTCTCAATATAAGACCATATGTTTTTATTCCTCAATATAAGACCATTAGTTATTAACTTATTATCTACTCCTTCCGTCCCAAAAAGATTTACATCTTTCAAAAAAATTACGTCCCACAATCTCCTACTCATTTTTATTAAAAAACCACTTTTACCCCTTACTTTTTCAAACACTACCTATCACATCATACCTTTTTTCTAATAATCTACACATCACATCCTACTTTTACCCATCACATCAAGAGTATTTTTGGAAAGTCAACACAAAATTATTACTCCCTTAATTTCAACTTTAGTCAAAATGGGTAACACTTTATGGGACGGAGAGAGTATTAGTCATTATTCAACTAAATATCTAGCATCACTTGGACATTGTTCTTCCCACTAGTCATTATTAAGTCCTACTTTGGGAAATTACTTATGTTTTAGTTCTATTCAGTGCAAATTTCACTTTCTAAAAAGTTCTTTAATGTGACGAGTAAAAATAAGATTTCATGGGTAAATTATTAGTAAAAAAGTAAAATGTGATAGGTAGAGTATAAAAAATTAAGGGGTAAATGTAATTTTTTAATAAAAATAAGAAGTGTTTTTTGGGAAGGATGAAAAAAGAAAGGAAAAAGATTTTGATAAACGTGGGGAGTATATGACACACTCACATAGCTTGATTAGGTAAATACAGATCAGAGTTGTAAGTGCATTACTTTGTATCCCAAAGCTTTATATTGATACTTTGGCTCACATTGATATAAAATGTCAATTTGATCGCGCTTATATTTTGTGATAATATGAACCATCAAAGTGTCATTGTCAAGTTTTGGGTGGTGGCACTGGTATACATCAAGTGGTGTACACCTAGCTCTTTTTGAAAGAATATGGTATATATTTCATTGATATCGTCAGTGAGTGTCGCGTAGTTGGCAAACATAGAGAGTGTCAAAGAGATAGAAATGGATTTGATTTTGGACAACTGCTCTAGGAGGCAACTATGCTAAGCATAAAACCTCTACATGTACAATGTGTAGACTTCACTCCCTCGCATCAATCTACGATCAAAATTCAATTTAGCTCCTTTTAGGGACTGTCTGGTCAGGTCTGATGGGACCCTCAAAGACAAGACTCATCCTTTTTTTAATATTTCATTAATATTTTATGCTTCTTGATTTATGTGCAAGTATATGAACTATTGAACTAGTACCATGTTTTCTTCATCTGATTTGAATGGTCCTGATCTGCTTTGGATAAGCTCTTGATACGGTATCGTATCGGGATAGGGAAGGTTGAGCACCTTCGAGCTATAGAATTGGGGAAAAGGAAGAGAAGAGAGAATTGCACGACACTTTGTTCGGCGAAATATAAGAACAAGAGGGAAGAGGAAAAGATTAGGGTTTAGGGAAAATGGTTTCTTATTGATTGAATAATTCTAAACACGTACATTTCAATATATAGAATAAAACTCTAGAACCTTAAGAGACTTCAATCTCTAAAAGAAACTAAATAAAATAAGAAACTAATTAATAACCTAACAAAAATAATATTCTCTAATAATAATTAACTAACCATATATAATACCTTACCTATGATGATGATGATGATGATGATGATGATGATGATGATGATGATGATGATAATCCCGTAACACTCTTCCCGTCTTGAAAACCAACTTGTCATAGTGTTGGAAATCTTGGAAAAAATGAGGAATCATACGTTGTGAACGGACATCCTCTGGGGTCAAAGACCTTTATGAATGGAGCATCAAAAGAATCGGTCAAGCTCAAAGCATTCACAACTCCAAGCAAACAACTCCATTAAACTAATAAGGAGAAAATCCTACCAGCACGCGTGACATCCCTAGAACCATAAAGGACAACAACGTCACTTTCTGACGTCTCAAATGTTTATGTGCATCCATAAAAAATGACACTATCTCTTGAATATTCTACTTGGACAGTGTGGTTTCGTTGATCGTCACCAAAAACATCAACAACAATATCAGCAACGGTAACAGGAACAACATTTATGGGATCAATAATAAGATCATCATCGGGAACACTAACAGGATCAATAAAAATTCCTTTTCAAATTCCTGGTCCTGCAAAGTTGTGTTCAGTACAGGTACTGTAGGAGCCGAATCTAGTGGAGTACCAATGAGTTTCTTTATAGTGCGCATCATGGTTGTTCTGAAAATGTATAACTATATAGGAATCAGGCTTGGTATAATTGGGAGACCATGAACTAAATCCTGTATCGAGCAAGAGACCTCTACGGCGAACGCATATACCTCAGAATCATATTTTGGTTGACCTTCAATTTAATGGAATACCTAAAGTTTCTTTATAATTTCATCTACAAAATCTTCAACTGAATGTAATTATATTATTTAAAGTTGTTTCTAATTTGATCTGGTCTGATTCCAATAAGGATAAGCAATAAGTAAAAAATAAGTTGAGGATAACATATATGCCCTAGTCTTAGTATCTAGCTAGCTACGGGAAAGAATGTTGGATATATAGTACTAGAATATTCGTCCGGTTTGATTTTTTCAAGTTAAACAGAATAAATTTTGAAGATTAATTTAATAAAAGCCGTATTCAGTTCGTATCACATTTTTGTACAAAAATGAATTCATTGATTTTATTTTGCAATAGTTTTAAAAAATCTATACTCGGGGTATAATTTTTTATACTATGCAAAACAATTTAATATAATTGATGATTAGAATTTGTCAAATTTAAACTTTAAAAGTCAAACTAAAAAAAGTATTCCCTCTCTCTAAGAGTAATATTCTCGTTCATAATTATAAGGTCAAACCTTATTCACTTTATTGACGTATTTTTGTTGCCCGTTTGATAAAATAATTTAGTCATGTCACCTATAATTTTGTATATATTTTCATGTAATTTTAAAAAAATGAAATTTTATTTTTTAATTTCATGTATGAAATGATTTGAAAATAACTTTAGTCAAATACTACGTATTATAGGGCCAGCCCTGAAAAGTGAAAAAATAAAATTGGCCCGGTCCAAAAAACTTACATTTTGTGCCCTATTTTATATTTTTAGAATGCTTTTGCTTTAAAATTATTAACAAATTTAAAAATATGGTGCCCTAAATTTTAAGAGGTCCTGTGCGGTTGGCCACTTTGCACACCTTTCGGGCCACGCATGTATTATAATGTGCAACTAGAACATTATTGTTGAAGGGGGAGAATATTTTTAAACAAATTGAGTAATTCAATTTATCTAGCTAATACTCGTAATAGATACGGTTGATTTTGAAGGAGCTTGTTTAGATGGAGTTCTACGTTTTATTTTACCCTAATCTGGTCTGCATGCTACTATATGTTCTTAGGTAGGCAGGCCAACACAGCTTTATATATCTAGGGTTAGTCCAAATGTCCAATTGGTCTGCAAGCTTTTGTCGGTGCTTGCCCCATTGACCACCATATATGCACAACTTGTTCACACAAATATTTTCATGCTTCCTCTCTTCACTCCCTACTTATCACATCATATTTTTTCTCTAATAATCTATCCATCACATCTTACTTTTACCATCACATCAGGGGGGACAAAATTGGAAGTCAGCTATAATTTAACACTTCCTTTATTTTGGCTCCAAGTCAAAATAGAAAGTGTTTTTACAAACAGAGGAAGTATTAGAATTCTTTTTTTTAGAAGCTCATGTCGTCATAAATGACATTGGTTTTAATTGGGGCAATTATTATGTCTCGTTTGTAAAATTATTGATAATTTCTCCACTTTTTCTCCTTCGATCAACTCAGCACCGTGTCAGCTTCAACTTTGCTTTCTTCTTCTCTTCTTCTTTTAGGGGAATGCATCTACTTCCTTTTCGATTTTTAATAAGGAGTATTACTTTTAATACTTATTTTAATTAAAATAATTAAATTAAAAATTTAAACTCAATATTTCATTAAATTTAAATTTTAAAGTAGATAAAAAAAATTTAAAACACATAACGAAATTAAAGTTTCATTAAATTTTTTTCTTAAAAGTTTTTAATATTTCATTAACCAAAAAACAAATAAATTAAAAAAATTGTTAAAGTCCATCCCACATCGTAAGTTTAAGAGTAAAATATTTGGTATATAAGCTCTTGAGTTGAACTAACTAATCGATTGGATTCAATCTTTTAATGTGGTTCAACCAAAATGTCTTATAGCGCAACCCAGTTATCTCTACTCAATTCTAAATTCTATCATGGTATCAGAGCAGGTTTTGGCCGACCTCGTTTGTCAAGGTGTCGGTCAGACGTTAATTTCTAGCGGCCCGTTAGTCTTTAGCCCAGTTGTCCGTATCAAGTATGTACCCAACGGCCTGTGACCCGTTTAACACGATTGCTCGTCTGGAAGTCCATACCCAGCGGCTCGTGGTCCTTTAGGTGTTAGCACTAAAAAAATTCAATGGAATGAGAGTTCATTTGGAAGTGGTCAACCGGTTAGATTCAAAATGGCCCGGTTGTCCACTTGAGGGTGAGTGTTAAAGACTTAAAGTGCATCCCACATCGGAAGTTCAAGAGTAAAATAATCGGTATATATGCTCTAGAGTTGAACAAACTAATCGATTGGATTCAATCTTTTAATGTGGTTCAACCCAAATGTCTTATAGCCCAACCCAGTTATCTCAACCCAATCTTAAATTCTATCAAAAATACAATTTAAAAAAACTAAAAAATATTAAAATTATGATTTAACAAGTAAAACTAAAATTACAAAGAAGAAGAAGAAGAAGAAGAAGAAGAAGAATTTGGACTCAATATTTTAATGTGGTTCGACCCATGTAACACCCTAGCTAATTCGTCCAGGTCTGCAGCCCTTTCGGACTAAAGTATTAACTTGGTAATTGTATAAAAAAAATTAAAATATTTTAAACACTTTTATTTATCACAATAATATTTTTCATAACGTAAACAATACGAAGTTTTTAATTTTGCGGAAGCTTAACAAATCATAATCAAAAAACATAATTCTTCGTCGAAATGCGTGGAACGAAGAAAGGAAACCTTTCCAAAAATTTTCTTCGGTGAAGGAAAATGGCTGAACGGCTGGACTCTCCAAGTATTGACGCGTGGAAGGCTGATGTGTCAAAAAATTAAATCTCTTTAAATGACACATGTCATAATTTTAATGAATTCTCAAATTTTATATTAAAGGATTCTCACGACTCTTCTCTGGTTGAGACTAATTTTGGTCTTGATCGGGGTATATTTGTTGGTCCAACTTTCTCTTAATTGAAATTCGTTTGCTCCAATACGATGAGACAATCAAACTCTATCCAACGATATAATTTTTATATTTATTTGGAATACTTTTTTGGATATCATATTTTTGCCAAATCCAAATGTCCATACTGCATCCAAAATTCTATAATGGTATCAGAGCAGGTTTTGGCCCACCTCGTATGGAGTATGTACGCAACGGTCTGTGACCCGTATAACACGATTGCTCGTCTGGAAGTCTATACTCAATGACTCGTGGTCATTTAGGTGTTGGCGCTAAAAAAAAGTCAATGGAATGAGAGTTCATTTGCAAGTGATCAACCGATTAGATTCAAAATGGCCCGGTTGTCCCCTTGAGGGGGAGTGTTAGATTGCATCCCACATCGGAAGTCCAAGAGTAAAATAATCGGTATATAAGTAAGAATACAAATTATATATTTTAAAATTACATCAAAAGTTCCATAAAATAAGATATGGCAAGAATTTTAATTTTATGAAACAACCAATGAAATCACACAAATAAAAAGAGGGCTATCAAGAATTCAAAATATTAACAGTGACGATATTTTTGAGACGATTAAGTTTCATAAGACTGAATCAACCCAAATGAAGAACTCTAATTCTTGTGTTCTTAATTTTAACTGAGCCCAAATTTTAAAATTCATAAATTGAAACCGGGAAATTACCCAACTCGATTTATGAAATTTTAGAATTTGGGGTTTAGTGAAAAATTAACAAAACAAAAGAAGGGATTACGTAGGCTTTCCTGAAAACAGTTGGCCCAAGTGGTAAGTTTGGGCCCAACTTTTAAAAAACTTTCTAGATATATTGGTCCACCCTAAACAAATCCTCTCGTCGCTCCGATTCGACAATTCCCCCTTCTTCTACATCGAATCCGAATCCAGGTACTTCCTTTTTCTAAGCTCCATCCTTATCCCAAACTAAAACGAATTCTTGTTTCCATTATAAGCAGATTCGAAACGCCATTTTTAGACGTTTAAATCTTGGAAGAATTTACAGATCAGAAAATTAAAGTGCAAATCAATCGATTAGCCCTAATATTTCTAAGCGAAAGATCTTGTTTTCGGGTTTCAGATGAGTATTTATTTTGTTATTAAGTTGTTTCTGAAATCTGCAATTGAATATGAAGCATATTTTTAGTTTAATATATAGAGTGAGAAATCGAGGTGATTATGCTTAATGCCCCTCCATTCTTTGGCCGGTGGATGGATTTCACCAAGTTTGATTTTTTTTTAATTGGGAAACACTAAATAAGTCTGTAATAGGTTGGTTTTTGATTACAGAATCAGCAAAGTAGGAGAAGATGAGTGGAGCAGCTGTAGGAGAGAGGGGCTCAACTACTACTAAAACACCTGCTGATTTTCTAAAGTCAATCCGTGGACGGCCCGTGGTCGTCAAATTGAACTCGGGTGTTGATTATAGAGGTGGGTTACTCGAGCCATTTAGTTAAGTATGCTTAATGATATCTGGCGGTTCAATTGGAAGTGAAGCATTACTGTTGTTTTTTATGAAGAAGATAGAATGACACGGCGACCAAAGTTTAGTACTAAAAATGGAACCTACTGAATGCCATTCAATATGTCTGGAAGGCATTGGGAAGAAAATATAAATGAGACTCTTCTTGATTTCATGCATGATCTTTTTGGTACTCTATACTGATTACATGTTTCATAAGAGAATAGTGAATGCTCTGTATTGCTTGTACTGTATTACACACATTAGGAATATGTATGGGCCTAGGAGAATTAAATGGAAAGCACAAAATGCTAAAGAAAATAGTACTATGTATATAAGTTTGATTTTACATTGAAAATACTCTGTAAAAGCAAAATGAAATTCCAGCAGTGCTTCTAAGTTTCTACATGATTCTAGTTTTTCTAGTCTTTAATAAAATGTAAATTGAATGTGAGCTAATATGTAATTGATTTATTGAGTTTGAACTTCTCTGTTTTCCTCTAAAGGGTATTTGTGTATAATTTTTCAACTTTCAAATAGACTCTAGGAGAGAAGGAAGAATGAAAACTCAAACTTGTGGGCAATTGATTTAGTGCAGCCACTGCAGCATCAATTGTTTAACGAGTTTGTCGTGATTTCTACAAGCCACCAAGTGTTACCTTAGCATTTCCTAGGTGGTGTGCGTGTGTCTGGGGTGGGGGGGAGATCTGCGTATAGACCCCATTTGTGGGATTCCACTGGGTTGTTTATGTAAAGAAAAGGTTGTCAAGTATCTGTTTTATGCAAGGAATGGAATCTGTCCTGTAAATCTCTGCACGTTGGTAGCATAAAAAGGGACAGGTTTTAAAGCAGCCAACCACACTTAATAAATAACAAATGCAAGTGACAAATTCTATACTCAAGCACCTTAACCTGTCACTAGAGTGTTTTGTGTGTGTGTGTGCAACCGGGCCATTTGGAATAAACCGGACTAGCTGATAACGAGTCGTTAAGATAAATTGTTTTGTTGTTTTTTGTTGTCCTGTTCTTTGCAGGTATTTTAGCTTGTTTAGATGGATACATGAACATTGCCATGGAACAAACAGAGGAATATGTTAATGGACAACTGAAGAACAAATATGGGGATGCCTTCATACGGGGCAATAATGGTGATTTATCTTTTAAACTAATAATCCCTTGATCTCGAACTTAAGGCATAAAGTTTTTTTTTTTTTTGCAAATAAAAATTGCAGTACTCTACATCAGCACAACGAAGAGGACCTTGGCTGATGGGGCTTAGCTGGTGCTCGACTCACAAGTTTTTAAATCAGGGTGGTACAAGAACATGTGTAAGCTCCTAATTGTGAATCTCAAGATGCTTCTAATGTTTTTTAGCAGAATTTGAGAATTTTGGATGAAACAAATACCCCCTTTTGGTATGCATCTGTAGTTTAATTCACGGAGTTTGGATGAAACAAACCCCCTTTTTCATTAAATTGGGGAACATCTCAAGTTAATGAGTGCTTGGTTTAGATGATCTATTGAAGTAAATGGAATCAAATGCAATAACCCTTTTTTTATTTTCTTTTTTAATGATGTGGGAACCCATGGCCGCTCTAGTCTAGTGCACATTGGTTTAACGCCAGCATCTCCAATCACCCTACTTTAGCTTGCTAAAAGCCATAATATAGCAAGTCAACCCATTTTTCTCTTCTCTAATGGGTGTGTTAAATTTTAGCAAGGTTGCCGAAAAATGACTTTGGCTTGCTAAATATAACAAGCTCTCCAAATTATAGAAAACCAAGGGTTGTAGAATGAATTAGCAAGCAAAGGTTGGAGAATGAAAACAAAATATCACTTATTTTATCACTATTCGCTTGTTAAAATATAAAAATAGCAAGCCAAAATATAGTAAACAAGCTTGGAGATGCTCTATCCGGGTGGAGTTAAACCATCTATATGATGAATCATACCCATCCTTAGCCAACAGGCAAATCCCTTGTAGTATTTACTATTTAGGGGCGGGCACGGTCCAGTTCTGAAACTTGCAATTCCGGTTTCCAACATGGGAGCAAGAATCTCTTGGGACTGTTTTGGTTCTCATCCATTCAAAAAAAATCATTAACAAAAAATACAATTAGATATTGGATTATTCAAATATTATCATTCTTCTCATGAAATTAGTTTTCTTTTAAAGTATAAATACAATTAAACGAAAAAAAGGAGGAACTCAGACCCAATTCTTGTTCCAAAAATATAGGAACCGGAACCACACCCCGCATTTCGGTTCTCTAATACATATTTCATCCGTTTTCAAAAGATTATTACAGTTTGATTTTTTAGGCAAACCGTGGTACTCTTTGACCATGAATCAAATATAGTTTAAAATGATTAAATATTATAAAAATTTGATAATTTAAAGTTATATTTTAAAATAAATTCAATTTTACTAAATTTAATCATAACTTAATATACTTTTTCTTCAAGTTGGGTAAAAGTAGACAACTCATTTTTTGGCGACCAATTTGGCCATCCTTGTGTGATGATCTTCCTATATTTTACTTCAAGTTGGGCAAAAGTAGACAACTCATTTTTGGCGTAGAGGTTTATTAATGTCATTTCCTCATATTTAAGTTCTTTCATGGATACATTTGTCTTCTTTGTAGGATGAACCAAATATGCATTAAAACACCAAAATAAAAATGTTTGGTACGCAGTTTTTAAAAAAATGTTGAAAATGAAGTGATTGAAATTTTGTTTATACGAAAGAGAAATGTTTTGAGTCACATGTTACACTATGTTTGGTTTGAGGAATTTGAGACGGAAAAAAAAGAGAATGAGAGCGAGAACAATTTCTCATATTTAGTTGGAGAAGAAAAGAGAAGTGAAAGAAAAAGAAAATGAAAAAATAAATGAACTAAGAAGAAAGAAAAAAACATCCCTTCCGTGCTTGTTAGGAAAATGAAAGAAACTATCTTTCTTTCTTTTTTTCCTTTCAAATTCCATAAACCAAACATTGCATTTCTTTTCTTTAAAAAACAAATCGAATATTATTTTGTGGCAGACAGAAATAAGATTGTGAAGTTTAGATAGAGACGGAGGGGAGAATATTTAGAATTTAGAGTGAATATTGGATTTCCAAAAAATGGTCTATTGCTATTCCCATATCCCACGAATGCATTTTAGAACACATTTTTTTAGGAAAAATGAAGTGGTAATAGTATTTTCTTAAAATAGCAATGTACATTCTCTAAACATATTTTTTATCAAGTGCATTAAGTGCACCATGAACTTCCTCATGTATGCAAAGTACTTCAAAACAAAATAAATAAATAAATAGATATTCTGGTCTGTAAATAGTGAATGAGACCACTATCATTTCAGAAAAGGACATGAAGAACATAAAGTTTACTACAAAGTTATGCACTTGTACATCTCCACCATCATAAGAAGTGGTTGATCTAGAAAAAAACTCATTGTTCAATATTGGTTTGCGATTCTTGAGACCGAAGAGTGCGTCCCCAGAGCTGCACTTATCACCCCTACAATCACAACTCCCACACTTGCAGCCATCTGTATTATGTCACCCACTCGCCCCCATAGAAAAATAACGTAATCAAGAAATTTATACCACAAAATAAAATAACATGTCACAACTCACAATGAGGAAGAACCCGTGACGAAGAAATTATAGATAAATAGTCACCTGTTTTCTTGTGACTTCCCTGCCCATGATCTTCAAATAACACACAGTTGGCATTATAATTGCCTAATGAAACATTACCACTCCTATCAGAACACAATGTACTCCCTTCTTATACAAATTTATAGACTAAGAGTCCGTTCTCTTCAATTGATTCTTATTAGTTATTCTTATTAGAATTAGTTCAAACCAAATCAGGAATAGCTTTAAAGATAACTACAATCAGACCAGATCAAAACTTATTTGAATCAGATCAGTTGAACTCGATAGAGTTAGGAATGAGGTGGTACTGTACAAGATGTTCTTACCAATAGTATGCTGAGAAGGGAGCCAATTAAAGCCATCACAAGGCCTGCAACAAGTTCAGGAGAAGTAATTAATCAAGAAAGTGACCTAACTCTGTACTGAGGAGAATTAATCAAATCCAAAAGAAGATTTTTTTCCTACCAAAGAAAGGAAGAAGGAATGCCACACAAACAGTGGAAATGAGAAGAAGTGCCCTTAGTAGGATAAAACAACACACACTACTGGACACTCTCTTAGGCAGCAACTCCTCCATGGCTCTAGCCAGTGGGTTCATCACCAGTGCATATTTTGTGAATGGGTTTATAACCTGTTGGTAAAAAAAATAAAAAGTAGTTTTTTAATACTTTAATGTATATATATCTACATATTAATTGATATTTTAATGGTCAATGTGTTGTATTGGAGACTCTGAAAAGTCAAATGAGAAACAAAATTTCGGTATGTAACTAGGAGCCATAAACGTACCGTTGTCCACACTGCAATCTTTGAAGCAACGGAATCAGGCGGCATATTCAGAGTGATCTGCGATAACGTGCTCTGACCATACATAAGATACCCCATAACCGCCACACTCCCGTACAATGTAACACACAGAATAAAGCTGCAAAGGCACTCGGTGAGTATTCTTACAGAAGAAGCTCACAAAACCAGATTGAACATATAAGAGCGTTTGTCGTTCGAGTCTTAGTTCATTCGTACGAAGTGAAAGTAGATTATCCCATACCATATGACCATTGCCTTGGGGAATTTCTTCTTATCTGCCATTGATTGGTAGATATTGGGGAAGACAGAATGACCAGCATAGCAGAACCCATACACACCAATGGCAAATGGAATGCCACTCCAGTTTACCAATTGGCCTCTTTGGGGTGTTCCCCTTCCACCTGTTGCACTGAGTATAGCTACCGAAACCACAATGGCTATCGTTGTAACAACGCCGCACACTGCAACATAAAAGGAAATGTTATTAACCGCTTGTTTGGTGTTGTTATTTAGGAAATGAAATAGAAAGAAAGGCTAAATCTCAATATGTTTCTTTTGATTGGAATTTTTCGCACAATCAGAAATGAGTTTGATATGCGCACCTGAAAGATATGATGTTAACCGAGCATCCCTCTGATAAAGAGTGGGTAGAACTATTAGAGCGGTGAGGATTCCAAACAAATGGGTAGAATCAAGACGCAAACTGTTCCAGTTTAAGGAAGCTCTGGGAAACAACGATGTTAGGTTGTCCCCCTCCAATATGATACACTCCACACAGTATGTCTGAAACAGTACAAAGATTAATTATAGTGTTTTTGGGCATGAAATTTTCATGCTCAGAAGTGCAGGGCAAAAGTTCTAGCCAGAGTCACTTACATATAACTCCGTAAACAAAAGGATCTGTAGATAATGCAAAACACAACATAGTGTCAGCAAAAACCAAACAAGGTAGTTTGAGTAAAACAAGATAAATCAAACTAAAGTGAAATGTAGTATCTGTTCATACATATTTTCTTAATGTACTGAAACACAGAGTCAAGACTTCATACGACATTGTCTGTGCGTGTTTTAGTATTTGCGAGAATTCAACTTACAGATGAGATAATGCGACCATATCTTCCGAATGCGGCCTCACCCATTTCAGGGTAAGTTGTGATCATGCCATTTTTGCTTTCTAAACAGTGCCTCATAAGAGAAGCTGTGTAGCAACAAATGACAGCAAATATGACCAAAACTGCCATGCTAGCCCAGCCAGCTTCTTTGATAGTTGAAGGAGTAGAAAGGAGACCCACACCGACCATCACATTGACACCTAAACCACAACATCATTATTCATTACAGCTTGCAGGCCGTGTTCTCCTCAACTTATTCTTATTACTTGTTCTTATTGGAATCAAACCAAATCAAACCAGATCAGAACTTATTCCAGTCAGATCAGGTGAAGAAGAGAACATGGCTGTAATATAGATGCCAAATTCATTTTAAAAACTTTTCCATTCTTTATTATACCATTGAAAACAGTTTGTGTCATGCTACACCCATGTCTAATAGGAAGCCCATCTCCTTTAGTGTTCAAAGAGGCCTTTTCGAAGGAAGATGAATGTTTTGATGAGATTAGGCCATCTCCAAAGCCGTTCTGGTTGGGTTTTGTAGCGTCACATATCAATTTTCCCTCCTCCTCGGAGTCCACATGTCTTTTATTAGTAGTGTCGTACGTTGAAAAAGAAATGCTAGATGCACCCCGTAGAAGTCCTTCGTTCGGTGATGCAGCGATTGAGTAAGAGTCAATTGTTTCTCTGCAATGCAGCCCCAAAAGGGTTAACAAAATGAGACACAAGGTAGCAAGCACACATTGGGGAGACCTTATGGAAAAGTTTGTAAACTTTGACCTCAATATATGAAAAAAATACATTGTCTTATAGTTTCCTTATGAGACGTAGTTTTGAAATATATACAATTTTCATAAAATATATTCATGTATAAATGTAAATATTAATGATTGATAGAATTTAGGATGGGGTAGTGATAACTGGATTGGGTAATAAGACACTTGGGTTGAACCACATTAAAAGATTGAATTCAATCGATTAGTTAGTTCAACTCAAGAGCTTATATCGATTTATTTTCACTACAAGTTCCGATGTGGGATAGACTCCAACACTCCCCCTCAAGTGGACAACCAGGCCATTTTGAATCTAACCGGTTGACCACTTGCAAATGAACTCCCATTCCCTTGACTTTTTTTTATGAGCGCCAACACCTAAAGGACCACGAGCCGCTGGGTATGGACTTCCAGACGAGCAATCGTGTTAAACAGGCCACAGGTCGTTGGGTACAACCTCCATACGGACAACTGGGCTAAAGACAAACGGGCCGCTAGGAATGAACGTCTAGACGGACACCTTGACAAACGAGGTGGGATAAAACTGGCTCCGATACCATGATAGAATTTAGGATGGGGTAGTGATAACTGGATTGGGTAATAAGACACTTGGGTTGAACCACATTAAAAGATTGAATTCAATCGATTAGTTAGTTCAACTCAAGAGCTTATATATCGATTTATTTTCACTACAAGTTCCGATGTGGGATAGACTCCAACATCAAATTGTTACATTAGAGACCATAAAGACTTAAATGAGAAGATCATTTTTGGACGGATGAAATATTTCAAAATGAATGGAGGGTCGGTGCAAGAAATTTGATAAGTGGGGCTACCTTACCTCAAATGCAAGAATAAAAAAGTGAAATTTGCTTCAAGTAGCACCAAAACTTAACACTTTTATCCAAATAGGACCGAACAACTTTTTTTTCCAAAACTAACATAAAGTTGATTAATTAATTAATTGTTAATAATATATATTTACTTAATCTCCTTTTGATCGATTCTCTCTCACCTTGATTCGTCTGCTTATATTTTCCTTTTGATGGACATTGTAAAAATTATGAACATTATTCACTATCGGGGACATTGTAAAAATTATATGAATGAGGAATTGTAAAAATTATGGACATTATTTATTGACCAGAGACATTGATGGCTAAGGCAGTGGACATTTATAATTACGACAATGTGTTTTTTTAACCGATAATGTCTTGGCAATGAATATGTAGACATTAACAACGACATTAGACATTACTCCGTATTATAGTGAAACCATGGAGGTCATTAAATCATGTATACCGAACATTAACGAAGTGACGGTGGGCCACTAACATCAGCATTTTGTGATCGATGGCTGGCGAAGGACAGTTGGACGTGATGGGGCAGTAAAATATAAAATCATATAAAGGGTATTTTAGCACACTAAAATTAATAATTAATTAGATGCTAGTTATGAAAATTAAAAGTTGTGATGCTATAGAGGAAAGTTCACTTTGTTTTAGTGCTATTTAAGTAAATTTTCCAATTAAAAAAAAAGACAAAAAAAAATTTCTATGTTGAGGAATTTACGTAAATAGTACTAAAATATAATGACTTTTTCTAAATAGCACTGCATGTACTTTTTTTCCCAATGTAGCACTTTTAGTCATTATGCATTAGTCATTATTCAAGTAAATGTTTGTCATCACTGGTCATTATGGACATTATTAAGTGCTATTTAGAGAATAAAAAAATTTAAGTGATATTTATGGAAGTGACTTAAGTTTTAGTGCCATTTAGTACAAATATTTCATCTATGTTTGGTTAGAAAGAAAAAAAAGAAAAGAAATCTAGAATGAAAAGAAAGTGAAGAAGAAAAACAAACAAGTAGGGAAATTGAATTCCTTCTATTTCGATGCAGAAAATGAAGAATACTACTGTGTACATTCTTTTCCTTTCCAAATTTTCGTTGAACTAAACATAGGATTAAAGGTAATGACGAGAAAACCTGAAACTCCGCGGCCATTGCTGAGAGTAGAGCGGAGAAGAAGAACGAGAAGACAAGTTTTGGGCATAGATCTCGTCTCCTTCTTCTTCTTCTTCTTCATTATTCTCTAATAAGAAGTAATCCACAAAGTCTTTGTTACCATTTTCTGCCATGGCAATGGCTAACACAATTTAAACTACTCTTTCTTTTTTTGTTCTTTTTTTTTTTGAAAGAAACAATTGTAATGATTTTTGTTTTTTGAGGTAACTACTGCAATACTTTTGATACATGTCAACACACACACATATATATATTCACACTTGTGTATTGAATAATGATCTTCACAGGACACTATTTCAACTTCACGGGAATTTATATTTATTTGTGTTTTTTCATGGCCTATATGATAAAATAAAATATTCTTGTCACCACTTGTTTTGTTGAACTTTTGGTGTAGTTTTTAAATATGTATGTTTTATTTTTTATTTCTATACCAATATTTAAATAAAATAGATTAAAAAAACTTGGGATTTTTCTTCGTTTTGCGAACCGGGAAGATCATTATAGGACGGAGGGCCAAATGGCTCTTGTGCCCCCTGTAGTTTGAAAAATTGGCACCAATACCCCCTCTATTTTCAAAACTTATTTCTAAAGTCCCCGTGGTTTCAAAATGCTGCACCCGTGCCCCCTCTGATCATTTTCCGGCCATTTTCCGGCGAAGAGGGGGCATTTGCGCATAATTTTTAAACCATAGGGGGTATTCATGCTCATTTTTATTTTTCGTTTATTATTTGTATTTTTCTTTTTTTAAATATTTTCTATCTCTTTTTTCTTTTCTTAGTTTTTTTTCTAATTTATTTTCAATTTTTTTATAATGTTTTAAAATTTTAAAATTTTTTGTTTTTGAAATAAAAATAAAAATAAAAAAATTAACATACATTGCATCTATTTGAAATTAAACATTTTCACTTTTTGTTACGTACTTATTTGAAAAGTTTAAAAAGAAAAACCTAGAATAAAAAAATAAAAATATGGAAAATAAAATGAAAAATAAAAAATACACAAAAAAAATCTGATACAAAAAATGGACAAGCCTAAAAAAGTCCTTAGAATTGAAATGTTCGAAGAAGATATTCATTTTTATTTTTCTATTATTTTGTTTCTTATTTTATTCATCATTTTTTTTGAAATTCTACAAAAAAAAGTTTACTTTTTTCAGAAAAAACAAATATTGTTGATTTGAGAAGTACATATACATTATATGTTACTCCCTCTGTCCGATTTTAAATTGTCTGTTAGTTGTTTTCGTAAACTTTTAAAAATAAAATACCTAAATTATCCCTAAAATAAGTCACTCTTCTTCACCTTATCCTCTCATTCATCATCACCCCTTCTAAAAAGTAATGACAATTTCGAAAAATCAACTATATTTTTTTATTTTCCTTAAATGTGTCCAAAAATCAAAACAGACGATTTAAATTGGGACGGAGGGAATAATTTTTTCAAACAAAAATAACTTTAAATTTTATGAGCATTATAAAAATAATTTTAAAAAAACCTTTATTAATAAAAGTAACAAATAAAGGAAGAAATGGAAAAAACAAAAAAAACAAGCGAGAAATAAATACTCCCTCCGTCCTATAATGATCTTCTCAGAGCACTATTCCAACTTCACGGGAATTTATATTTATTTGTGTTTTTTCATGGCCTATATGATAAAATAAAATATTCTTGTCACCACTTGTTTTGTTGAACTTTTGGTGTAGTTTTTAAATATATACTCCCTCCGTTTCTTAAAACCCTTCCTTTTTCATTTTTTTTGTTTTTCTTAAAACACTTCCCTTTTCTATTAAAAAACCACTTTTACCCCTACTTTTTCATACCCTATGTTAGACAAAAGTGCAACTCTAGAGGGGGGGGTGAATAGAGTTGTTTTCAAGAATGTACGTTTTTCGTAAAAATTATCGCAGGAAAAAGTAAGGAGAGTAAGGGAAAGAAGAACACAGGGATTTATACTGGTTCACCACCTCGTGGCTAGTCCAGTCCTCCGAGAGACTCTCTCGAAAGTCTTACTAATCTTCAAGCTTCAACGGGTGCTTGAAAAACCGTTACAACTTGAGAACTTGAATCACACAAGCCTCACTTTCTTACAATAACAAGACTTGAGTCACACAAGTCTTAAGAACAACACTCAAGTGAGATTGAGTTTACAACACAAGAATGAAAGCTCACACAATTGAGCAAAGTAGTGTTGAAAGATTTAAGCTCTATGGATGACAACTTCTATAGCACTCAAAGAAAAAATATTTCTAACTCTCAAAAATAATATTTTGATGAGGAAGATGAAGCAAAAGATGAATAGCTCAGGGAAATATGTTGGAGTGCAAGAGATGTTTGGAAATGAAGGAGAATGAGGGATTAAATAGGCTGAGGAAAATAAAGCGGTTGAAGAAAGATGATGTTCTGTACCAGAGAGAATTAATCGATTAAATTAGGAATTTTAATCGATTAAAGTGTACAGAAGCNATTCAAACCTGAGAAATTGCGCTGGATCTAATCGATTATTTTAGAGTAAATAATCGATTAACATGAAAATAATGCGCAAACACAAAGGGCCCAAGCCAAGTGCGATTGGAAGCCCTTTGGCTTCTAACTCGTTGTTTGAGACAACGAGAATAAAAGCGCTCCAACGATTATATCTCCCTTATTCAATGAATTTGAGTAGGGGAGAAAAAAAAGAGAGTCCAAAAATTATTTTGTGTGTCAAACAATACACGAGAAAATATTTAAAGTATATTTTTCTCACCAAGGAAAATTGTATAACTTTAAAAATTAATGTTTTTAAAAGAAATTTTGACACACTCATTTTGAAACTGACTCACTAAAATATTTTGGACAGAAAAAAAAATGATTTTTCAACTGACTCAAAAATAATTTTTATCCCTCAGAAATTAAATTGTTTTGTGCAAAAGATATTGTCACCCTTACAAGAATCCTAGACTCAATAAAAATTTAAAAGTCTTCGGAGTCTTCACATCACTTCAAAAAAAATTGCGTTGGGGGACCGTTGATTTTTATCCCGTAACTATCTTGATACGTCTCTTTTCTTTTCTCGATACGAAAAGTAAATTTTCGATCATCGTTCGAATTTCATCATCCTGTTTGTCATTTATCAAAACAAAAATATTCCAGAAAAATAATAAAGGGGTTTGAACTCATGTCCAACACCCTACCTATCACATCATACTTTTTCACTAACAACTAAACCATCACATCTTACTTTTACCCATCACATCAAGGGCAAAATTGGAAAGTCAACTACAATTTAACACTTCCTTATTCTTCCCCAAAGTCAAAAGGGGAATTGTTTTGAGAAACGGAGGTAGTATGTTTTATTTTTTATTTCTATACCAATATTTAAATAAAATAGATTGAAAAAACTTGGGATTTTTCTTCGTTTTGCGAACCGGGAAGATCATTATAGGACGGAGGGAGTATCAGCACCGATACCCCTGTGGTTTAGTAAATATGCAGCAATGCCCCCCTTCTTCGCCGGAAAAATGGCCGGAGAATGATCAGAGGGGGCACGGGTACAACATTTTGAAACCACAAAGGCTTTTGAAATAAGTTATGAAAACAGAAGAGGTTTTGGTGCCTATTTTACAAACCACGGGGTACTAGCGCTATTTAGCCGAGGGATTACTTGAATGCAAAAAACAGTACATGTACGGGGCCCACCTTTGGTGGTTAAACGACACAGCTGTATTGGACCAGTCTCTCTCAAAGAAATTAAACCGTACTAAGTTCTTTCGTTGCAAGATTTCCGCATAAAATAATTGAACTAAAGTATGGGTACCACAAAATTTATACCACGTTTTAATTTTTAGAAATAATAAAAACAATAGTTATAAAAACACTAATTTATACCACAAAAGTAGTCTTACTTGATAATAAAAACAATAATAATGGAAATAATAATAATAGGAATAATAATAGTAGTAATTATAATAGTAATGATAATTATAACTATAATAATAATAATAGTAATTATAATAGTAATTTTGACTTTTCATATTCAATCAAGAGTTCAAGACCAATATTTAACTTATAATTAAATAATACGAGTAATTATATATATTAATTAGACAAAATGATATTTTAAAAAATATTTTACAAGATAACTTTAATGAAATTATTTTTGTATTAATATCTAATATCAATCATACAACCTTAAAAATATCAATTTCATTTAATTTCGGTCAAAGCTTGTGAATTTGAGTGCGAAATTGAATTTTAAAATTGGAAAAACATTGCTGGACACTAGGTAATATTCGATTTACTTTATAACAAAATATATACTCCCTCCCTCCCACAAAACCCTTTCCCTTTCTTTTTTTATCTGTCCCAAAAAAATATTTCTATTTTCCTATCAAAAAGTCACTTTTATCCATATTAATTCTTAACCTACATATCACATCTCACTTTTTCATTATAAATCTACCT